TGGATAAGGTGAGACTAGAATTCACAATCTCCTGGTTTCACTACACCAGATGGGCTCTTTATAACATGGCACATGTGTCAGCAGAGTTTACCTGCTTACAAAATCTCCTAAGAAGGGCTGCTACCCACTTAAAAAGGTGTGAGTGGTTGACTTTGTTTCTATTTGTGTAAATACGAAAATCCGAAGCAAAGCAAAATACCGTTGAGTTTGGCAAATGGAAATCCTTCTTTCTTCCTTGAGGTGGAATAATATTGCTGCTAATCATGGCAAAATCCTTGCCCAATCAATTCAGTCGGGACCCACCCCTGGACCAATCAAAGGCTTTTAACCCAGTGCTAATTCAGGATGGGCAGGAGATAAATTGAGGTCTGCCGGTGACATCTCGGGGTGATTTAAAGCTTTCCATTGGCCGCACAAGTTTTTGACATCCGGGAAATTTATTTCCTAACAAGGACATTCAATCATTGGAGACTCCCAAGTGCAGGAGAAGGGCTGTGGAAAAAAGTTTGTTCTGTCAGCTTTCTTAAACTGGCCGTGCATTTTTGGGGGGAGGGGAGGAAAAAAAATGTTGGCATCGCCAATTCTTTTTCCGATGCCTTCTGCATGCGTGTGTGTGTGCATTTATATACATTGCACAAATTATCTGTAACAAGTTGCATTTAATGCACTATTTAGGTCGCTGGTTTGGGCCACAATAAGATCGTTTAGCGTGACTTGCTCCGTTTATATACAGCGCACTGATGATGTTACCTAGATGGGTCATGAAATGTCTGCAGAAAGCCACCAATTTCAGAGACCACCAAGGACCCTTCATTTCAACCCCAAGCTACATGCATTCTCTTCTACCTGTAACACATATGTAACATGATTAAGGAATCAAGAAGGGATTAGCTCATGATGTTACAGAGGTCAGCTCTTCTTAAGCTTCGGTACGGCTACGTGAAAATGCCCCAGTTCTTTTTTTCAATTTGACAGAAGGCTACTCTAGCCAGATAGCTGAGTATATTAGTTAATAAAAAGCAGTTCTTGGCTACTCCATCCTAGGGCAAACCGCACAGCCAAAATATCTTTTTAAATAATAATGACACTGGTCCTATGAAAAAGAAAGCAGTTTTGCTTTGCCAGAGCTAATGTATTATTATTATTATTATTATTATTATTATTATTATTATTATTATTATTATTATTATTATTATTATTATTATTATTATTATTATTATTATGTAACAGCTTGAAGCACCTCAAAGACCTACGGTTGGGCACTGAAGAAGCCAAATCCCAGTCCAAAAAAAAAATCACGGCTGCCCCATCCATGCCGTCACACGAAGGCTGGCATTTTAATTGTGTATTTATAAGATGGTTAATGGTTAGTTAATTTACCTCCCACACTATTATTGTGCTTGAAAATGATTTAATGTCTGTCGAGGGAGTTAAACAACAGGCTTAACAGCAGATGCACAGGCCCACTTATTTATTTATTTCCCTCTTCCTGCCGCTGCTGAACCCCGACTTCACACGGTTTATAGCCTGGGAGGCTTGACAAGGATACGGGCTTTCTTAATAGCTCCCACAACTGGGTTGGCACCCTTTCAACTTCCGTGGTAGCCAAAGAGGAAACGGACTATAATTTGTAAATACACCACTCCCGTGCCAGGACGAGAGGCGGTGGGCAAAACAGCAGCACAGCAGAGAAGAATCACAACCCGGTGACACAATTTTGTTTTTTTTTGTTGTCTGTTTTTGCAAAGAGGTTGGCTATGTTTGTTTGGGCCAATCTCAAAATAAAAAATGGAAGAAGCGAAGCGGCGTTTGTTAAGTGCCAAAGTTCTCGTCCCCTCGCATCTGCTAGGCCCTCTGCTACCATGCCGGGCTTCGTTCATTTTTCTTTTTAAATAATTTTGAAATGTAAACATGCCCACGTGACTGACGAGCGTTCGTTTAGTGTCCGCTCAAAGTTCGTTTAGAGTCCGCTCACTTACGATCGTTTTTCACACTTTACGACCGTGGGTCACGTGATCCAAACTCAAGACGCTTGGCAACTGGTTCGTATTTACGACGGTCGCGGCGTCCCGGGAGGGATCACGTGACGCCCTTTTGCGACCTTCGGACGAGCCAAGTCAATGGGGAAGAAGCCGGATTCGTTTTAACAACGGTGGGACCAATTTAACAACTGCAGGGATCCCTTAACAACTGATCTCTGTGCCGAAATGCATGCTACATCTTGGCTACGTCTGGCAAAACAGCGGCGTAAAAGGAGCAAGAATCACGAAATACACTTTGCATGTGGAAACGAGGCACCGCAAGAGAAGTTCCTAGGAACCGAATCCATTCCTAGCAACCTCGTCACAAACCATCTTATTATACGGGGCTCACAGGAAGACTCAGGAGAGTAAAGCGTCCTGATTACCGAGAGTAAATTGGAACCTGAAAAATAATCTCTATTTTCCTTACTGTGCTCTCAAAATTATAGCCCCCGGTTCCTCGTGTTCAGAGCGAGCGAAAAATGATTACTGTAAGTGAGCTGTGTCTCCCAAATCGTTAATAAAGAATGGAGTCCCAGTGCATCTTAAGGAGAGGGGAAAAAAAGATTTTTCCCCCCCTCCTACAGATAGATACCGCTTTAGAGAGATGCGTGATGTTAGCAAGGAAGGGATTGTGGGGGGAGGAAATCACAGTTTTTGCAAGAACACATCAAGAGTTTGTCAGCTGCAGCTTTTTTTTTTTTTTTTTTTGCAGTTGTCGGAGTGCTGGATCCTGAAGGCTCCTGTCTGGGGCAGGACTGCACGGTTTCTGAGTCCAGTGTTTCCCGAAGGCTAGCTCTTTCAAGCAAAAGGTG